CCTCCACCGATCGCAACATACACCATACCCAAACTGCATGGTACTCTATGCAAGAAAGGAGTAAAATTACTTACCAGCCAATCTTGGGATTGTGAGGCAACGTTGCTTTAGGTTCTTTTTGTATTACCTTACCAGAAAAACAATCAGAACAGCAGCTAATGAAGTTGGAAGAAGGTCTCACGGAATGGTGTTTGATAATTAATAGATGTTGGGGGTGCAGCCCCTCTGAAACTGGAGCATACTGACTGTAAATATAGTTCTGATTTTATTTTGGAAGCATTTCACTGAAATAATGTCTTATCTCTGCAGCACTTGTAAATATATTTGATATTTCTCTGTATTACCAGAGGAGGAAAACAGGTCAGTTGTATTTACTCAGTGATAAATGCCTGAACTAAAAAAAAAAAAAAAAAACCAACAAAAAAAACCCCCACTAAACTATCTAAAATTTCATTTTATTAATATTAAAATAAACAGCTCTTTGGAGGAGGCAGAGCATGAAAAGTTTTGCTTAGTTCTGTCTTATGAAATGATAGTGTAACTCCAAAGAATTCCTTCATTTCTGCGTAGTCAAAAAAAATCACTATTCTGGAAGGCAGCTATGTGAAAAATCCTTCGAAATAAGACACAAGGAAAATTATTTGCAACCCACAGCCAAACGTGAGATAAAGGTGTCAAATCTGCGGTGATCCCCATCTGAACTTGGATTTTGTCCTAAGTAAAACGGGTCTGTTCCGTTCGCCATTGTTACCACCCGCCACGTCTCCGCATCAGGGCACAGCATTATCCTACTGCCTGGCACACTTCACTATAATCCTCAGGCTCCAGAGAAAAAGAGACAACTAGAATACAGAAGGAAGAAGAGGAGGTCACAATACATGTCAGGGATGAGGTGCGCTCGGTAATTTCCCACCTGCTCTTGCTTTGCCTGCTTTTCTTTTCACCAACTTTGAAATCAAAGCAGAAATCAGAAATGCTGTAAAATTTTCCCCTCAAAAAAAAAAAAAAAAAGGCAGACAGTCCCCTCAGATAGCTCACATCCCGAGCTAAGAATCATTAATGCTCTTAATATATCACTAACAATGCCAAGTCTACAAAACATAAGCCTTCTATGAAATGCATTTATATAATCAGCTAATAGGAGGGTGTCAATGCAGCCTTACTAACAAGGCTGGAAGTATGTAACAAGTCAGCCTTGGAAGAAACAAGAGGCATCTCTTTTTCCAGAAAAAAAAACCCCACAAAACCTCACAGAAGCCATTAATATATTTATAAAATCATTTAGCCCTCACCACATGATCTCAGCACAGCATCCACTCATCTCTGGCTAGCACAGCTGAGGAAGAGAACACAAGCTGTTCTGTTTGCTTCTTCACACCGCTGTCACGGTGCGGTCTAACGAGGGCATACCTTCTTAGGTGTTCAGAGACACATCCTTTTGTGTTTCCAAACTGATAAAGTGACCATACACACGTGCATGCACGCATCTTCACAGATATATATATATATGCCTGTAGTAAAGGCATTATAACATACTGTGAACAGTCCTGAAGGGAGCTTAGGCTAGTTTACACTATGCCTGAGAGGCTCAGAGAGCTTCAGGAACAGCTGGAGACAGATGAGACATTGGAAAAGGCTGACAGCTTCTTCTTGGAGGGTAAATTGAGTCTGATGTGATAAAAGAAAAAAAAAAAATAATAAAAGTCCTGCTGCAAAAGAGCTGTGTACATATGGGACAGTCATGAATCGTGCACTTGAGCTGCCCTTCCCCTTGGTCCCTTCGAGAAAGAGAAACAACGCGAGCGATTATCAGAGGCGCAGTATTTATCGCGACATGATGGCAAAAGATGGGAGGAGCTCACGTGCTATATGCACACTGCAAGGTTAGCCTGGATGTAACCAACGGGATACCAGTAAATCCTGAAGCCCAGAGGTGCTTTTGTGTAGTACAGCTGGCTTCTACGCAGACAGCGAAAGGAAAAGGTAGTTCTGAAACACCAGAACTAAGGAAGCCCACAGGCCTACGTAGCTTGTGGGTGGCTGACTGCAGTGTGCAAAAGGTGCAAGAGTGAAGATTAAAGCTCCTCTTGTCCTAAAGACATTTAAAAAGTCCAGCTCTCCTCTATGATCCCTAGGTGACGAGTTAAAAGTGAGTCTTGCTCAGAGGGAACTCCGATAGTCTCCCTCTTCCACTAGCTACCTGTTCCCTCCAGTCCTCCAGAACAGCGTCTTTCAGCTCCTACTCCTGTTAAATGGGACTGAAGCTGGCTCACACACTCAGATCTACGGCTCGGGGAGGGAAAGCTGGAGTGGCACAGACACACTCACGTACAACAGGACCATCTCTTTATAAAACCCCTCCTTCACTTGAACAACAGAGCCTGAGCTGGCAAATATTTTAAGCCAAGAATAAAAGATTCTAGTAGTTCTATGGAAATACAAGTTCTTCCAGATTTCCTGAACCTTTATTGTTAAGGAGACCAAGTAAAGATCCCTGCGGACCTAAAGCCGCCGTAGCACTTCAGTAAACTATAAAGATACTTACGCTTTCTAACAGCTCAGCCAAGCTTGTATATCAATCACACACAAGTAGACATAAAAATCCAGTGTCTTACTATTTCCTACTTGTCCAAAGCTTTGCAAATTACCATCCTTTCTTCTTTTCCACCTATTATTAAAAGACTAGTTTTCTGTATTACAGATTAGCTACAGTTTATCAGCACGGCCGTAATTTACTCACCCAGGCCAAACAGAATTTCACATTCATTATTAGCCAAATTCTGGTAAGTCTTTGCAACCTGCATTTCTCTATCTGTACTTCTGTGGAGCTGGAGTTTTGATAAACATTGATTGTAAGAGTCCACTACAGCTCACGTACACAAAATGCTAAAAATACGAGCACGAATATCGAACAACTTTATGCTAGTCATTAAAATGATCACAAATTGAAAACATAAGATAGAGAAATCTGTCTTTTTGTCATGTAGCATGAACATCAAAGCAAGCTATGGAGGTTTCAGCTAGCTGCATCCAACTGGAGCGTCACTTCTTTCATGCGTTAAAGCAGCCACGTTTTTTAAACCATAGGAAAGCTCACACTTCCAAAATATAAAGCCAAGAAAGAGTGGGAAGTAACTTGTGCAAAGCTAGAGACACTAGACTCTGACAGCATACGCAAAATTCTGTGATACAGGCCATTCTAGAAAACCAAATATTTAATCAAGGAGAGCACTGTCAAAATAGTTACCATTTTTACACTCAGCTGAATTAAATGTAGGCTGTACAGTAGTACGCCTTCCCCTGCCTCTTTCCTTTTTCTGTTTAAACATGCCTGATTTTGGTCTTTAGAAGCAACAAGAGACCAGACAAACAAATATATGGAAGGCTCTAAATGGAATTATTTGATGTGCCAAACCAGCTTTTTTGGGACCATAAGGGTTTTGAAGAAAATTGTTTCCTGCTGTGGGAGAAAACGGTATCATCAAAGGTAAAGAAGAGGTTGCCTACTTAGATACTACTGTTATCCCTTATCGCTTTCCCTTACCTATTTTAGAGCACATTCCTCCCACAAATTAAGTCAGCAGCACAGTCTGTCCACATGGTCAGCAGAACAACTGACTTGCCTTTGGTCTTTTCTTAGTGTTTTCTTTCTTGCCTCCAAATGAAACCACCGACTGTACAGATTTTATTTTCTTGCTAGGCAAAGCACTTAAATAAGAGAACCTTATCTCCGTCTTTCAAAGCCGTGAGCTAATCCCCCTACTTGTTTTATTTTCCCCCGTGTTTTTATTCCCCTTCCGTATGCAGTGGTGATTTGTGGATCCTTCTCCCTTTAGCATATTGTGCTTCCCCACTGCCTTTGAGTCACCAGAACTCCCTGTACCTCAACCCTCCCACCATTATATTTTGTAAGACAATTTCCAGTTTCTGCTCCAAGCCTTTCCCTCTACATTTACACCAGGTATTATGGCATAAGCACAGCTCCAAGCAAATATCCCGATAGCCCTGAGACCACATCCCTCATTCTTGGTTTTGTTCTGAAGTTTCTTCTTTTCAGAAGTAACGCTACTTTAAGGATTGCTTTCAAGGAAGGTGGTGTGTAAGAGAGGCTGCTTCTACAACATATCAGCAGTCAACACCTGTATCAAGGCTGCATACCCAAGAATATCGCTTTCCCATTACAAGGCGATATTGAAACCAGAATCGTAACAGGAACAACAGGCTAAAATATTTTTTTGGGAAAGGCCCCATTTGGATATCTCAATCTCAGGACCACATCAGCAGTGAGAAACGACCGAAATGCTAATGCACCACCACGTGTGTACCTTTAAAAAGAGACGGAAGAACCGTCTGACCGTTCAAAAGGAAAATAAAGAACAAAACCCAGAAGGAAACGAGTGATTATCTGAAGAGGCACTTAGCTGTACCTCAGCCTGTTTGCATGTCCTGCTATTCAAAATGCAGCCTTTGCTTTTCCAGTCCTCCCCTTCCATTTTCCTCCCCAAGATTCCTTGAAAGAGTCTGGAGCTGCAGAAGCAGCACGTGTTTGACAGCCATGAAATTATCGTTTTTAACACTCAGCGAGGTACCAGTTCATACTGTTCCTAAAGTGCAGTCTGAAAAACAAGCATACTTACATACTTTTATGAGTAACGAGCGCTGAGTAAAGTCTAACTTGCACTCAGGAAATAAATGAAATAAATCCAGCAATTTATCTGGAGTTAACAGAAGAACATGACCAGCTCAGCTACTGTACCCATTCCATTTTCAACAAACACGTCTGTTACCTTCACATGTTTGTGCACCTGATTTTGCCTCTCCCATTCACAAAAAAAAAAGATCTTCTGGCATAAACCTATATAGCCATGTACAGTATAGAAGAATCTGGTTTGAACTGTCAAATGGCATTTGCTCAGAAATATGGTGATATATGAAAACCACAAGTACAATGTTTTAGTTGTGGTATGCTGGAATAGGAGGAAGAAATACAGTTAAGACTGTTTCTATTTCCATATACAACTTTTATTGCAATACCTGTATTCTAAGTGTACAGATACAAATATAAAATGACCCATGACAGGCTTTAAACCTGCCCAAATAGCAAACTGAGAAATTCATTCGTTATTAGAGCCAAAGTTGACAGGGCTTCAAGAGGTGACAGGAAGCTTCCCCAGTCTCTCTCCAAGAACAACCGGGATCCACCATATTTTTGGTCCAAGATGTATGCTTTAAGTTGGCAGCTGAGTCTATGAACGTGTGTATTTACCCCAGATGTGCAGCATAAACACAGAAGCAATAAAAAGAAGACTCATGACCAAAACTGGAACAGGACCACTAAAAATGAAGAAAAAAAATGCATTAACATTAAAAAAAGAGTCTGCTTTATCCAAAGGCCAATCATTACCAGCCAAGTGAACCCCTCAGTTCATAAGCAACTGTACAAAACTTATCCCATTCCCACAGAAATACCTTGAAGCACACAGAAACGAGACAGCCATCTCTATCCAAAACTGCTCCTGCCCCTATTTTTTTAAAGATACGGTTTTATACACCCTAAATGTTACCTAACTATAAAGCACAACGTAACAACAAAACAACCCCACTTATTTAAAAATTAATTAGTGGCTCATTATTACTCATCATTGTGCAAACAATCTCTGGAAAATTATCATCTGTATTTACTACTCAGATGGCCACCTGAGCAGAGAAGGAGTCAGATACAAAAACCAACAGAGTCCTCTAGCGGCGTAAAAAAATTTGGCATAAAATTCGCATTAACTGTTTTTTTCCAGAGGTTTTATTTCGTTTGGAAACAATGGCTGCAGCGGGTGGGAGGCGGGAACTTCTGTTTTCTTGAATGTCAAAGTTAACTCCATCATTAAATCATTACCTAAAATGTATAAACTAACAGATTTCTTAACTTTTTTCCTTCCCACTTTTATCCATTGTTTAGAAATCACATAGTGATGTTTTTAAAAACCAGTTTAATCTTAGGGTGCACGTTGGGAGACTAAATCAGCTGTTTCACACTGCTCTGAGACACACAGTTACGTGCACTATTACACCATTACACCCACTCCATACAATCTCATTTCTGATTCTCAACCTGCTGTTGGGAGAAACACCATGAATTCTGTTATCCAGCCTGGATTACCCTCCAGGTTACTGTTTATAAGCAGGTAAACATTACTTGAATACAAAGTAAAAAAAGAAACTGAAAACGGATGGAAACACTTTACTAACGTATTTTTCTATGACATCATGGTCCCCATACGTCAAACATTCGTAACTAACACTACACTGAGTTTTAAGACTCAATTATTACCTATCACACTCAGACATGTGTGGGTATGGAGAGCCCTGAACACAGGCATAAAGCTATTTAGCAAATAAACCAATGACAAAACGTGCAAAATAAAAAAGCCTGCACACACAGTGACTATATAAGCAACCCCTGTCAAGGGATGTATTTCACTGAGCCACGGTATGTCCTTCTCAACCCCCAGTGTTTTATACATGTTTGGAGTTTATGCCCTACATGGTATAAATCGTAATGGTATCAGGCGCACAAAGGCCTCATGCTGTATCTGAATTACTATTTAATTTGAGCCTTTAGCAGCAGCAATACATAAGCTACTCTGTGCTGAAGGCACAAGGAATAGAGGAGCTCCACTGACCAGAACAGAGCAACACGGAGATAAAACAGGGGGGACTGTTGGTGTGTTTGGTGGGGTTTTTCTTTTAAACACACCGATGACACTGATCCCCCTACAGAATAACCAGCTTTCCAATACTGACACGTGCATCTCATTTTTGCCCAGTCCCAAAGACAACCTGCTGAAACCCTGCAATGCACCTCAATCTCAGCCCACCACACTGTTTAAATAAACAAGCAAAAAAAACCCCGATTCAGGCACCTCTAAAGACGTGGTACCGTGCACTCACGAGGCTGCATATTATACCACAAGCCCAATCTGATTCTCTGTGATGGCTCCGCAGGATAAACCGCCTACAGGTCTTTAAGCAAGAAAGCTCAAGTCAAGACAGAGGAACCACGGGTACCAAGCGCCACAGAAAGAGCCACAAGTTTGGGGTTAGTCCTCTTTTCAAAGCAGGTGATGCTCGATCTGAGTTTTAAAGAGAAAAATATCACATCCCCCACAGCTCCCTTTTGCTAACATTGTTTTTAAAGACATATGTATTTTGTACCACAGATAAATGTACTTTCCTGAGGCGAACCAAACTTGCTTATTCAACATATTTATTATTTCTGATGCTGAGCACAGACACCAAATTTCCAAAGCATCAGTGGTATAATTAGGCACAATATAAAACTTTTGATCTAGAGCAGAATTCTCCTGACCATAGCTAGCATGAAATAACCTGTTCTCAAGTGGTTTTATGTATTTTTTTTTACAGTAATTTTAAGAGCTCGTATTTTAAACAACATGAGAAAACACAAAAAAGCCACCCCAACCTACCCCCCAGGCTAAGTTTTCACACTGCTTTACGCAGTGGTGATCACCGTTTTCAAAAACAACTTCGGCTGAAGCACTTCACTGAGGCAACCACAACCCCTCTATAACGCATTTTCACTTTTAAGCTCACTGAATAGGACAGAGATCATAACAATCAGTTGCTATGGGAAAAAAAATACATGTAGAAAAATCCATGGAAAGCTGTAAGCAAGAAAGTTGCTCCCCAGCCATGGGTCAGAAAATGTTGTATCTCGTCTGCAGGTGATTTGCAAAAGAAATTCACTTTTACAGATTTGTTTCTTCCATTAAAAATCTGACCAATCAGCTACCCACGGTAGCTTGCAAAAAACCTCTTTGTATCACAATTCTATTGAAAAAAAAAATCTACCTAATGATAGAACAATTCTGGGTTTTTCTCAGTTTGGATTTATTCCGTTTTTTTAATTGAGCTTTAGTAGACCAAACATCATAGAAAATAGTTGCCTTGCCTATCTGCACAGATTTGCTCTAGAACACTGTGGTTGCTCGTTGTCATTTTCTTTCCTTTGCCTTGTCTCCTGTCTGGATTCAGACTGGAGAAAGCAAGACCTGCACCACTACTTTGATGGCTTGCTGTTTAGTTGGGTTTTTTTTTTAAAGTGTTAAGCACATATGAAAATGAAAACACGTTAAGACAACTTCAGAGGAAGGATTACTCATGGAACAATCACTAACTAGACTATCACCAGCCCTTCCCCAAATATTCCGCAGCAGCCCTCTTCAAGGGCTCCAAAATAAAATGCTAATGGATTCCAGGAAAAAAAAAAAAAGCAGCAGGGACAACCCTGAGTGTCTTGAGTCTCTTCAACCCAGTAAGAACAAGAGGCCATGAAGTGTAATTCTACAAGAAGCACAAACTCCCACTCAGGGTGTGACTTCGCACGCACCCATCAGCTGAAATACACCTTTGTGACCCGAGTATTAGGCTGCAAAGGTTCTTTGGGAAACTGATCTGAATGACTCAAACTGGCCAAAAAGTAAAAAGGTAGGCTCTCTTTACAGCTTAAGAGACACTACCACCAGATATTTGACCAGATTATGATCTTAGAATATTCGCCTTGTAAAAACAGAGATATACAAGCTATTGGAATACTATTCACTTTGGAAACTTAGTTAAAACAATTTATCTCCAGCTTTTCAACAAAAACACCCGAGATTCTGCAAGCATGTGGCATATCAGATATATCACATTTTCAAGGTGGGCACAGGATCACAACAAAACCCAAAACCTTAATTAAAAGAGAACAAAAACATGCACATGGATACCCAAATTCACTGTGACAAGTAATCTTCCCCCAACTTCGAAGTGACTGCTTGCAGTCTTCAAAGACCACTTAATTTTAGGCAATTACAAAAACTAACTTGTACCTACCTTTTTAAAACCACTACAAGTTTAAAAGCTACCTCTCGAGGTTTATAGATTAAATACTTCGTCCCAAATCTACCTAAGCAGCCATCAATTCAGCATGTTTCCCCATGCAGACCAGACCGTTGATGTCTCAATTCAAAGGCTGAAAGACTACATAAGCAGGCGAAATATATAGCCCCCACGCCTGCCACCCACCCCTACATCCAACTTACACTTTGAGCCCCGGAGAGTCCTCCGTGTAGAATCGCCACATCCCCCCAGTACCCGTGGAAGTGGCACGGCCTGCACTTCTTGTCCCGCAGCTGGCATTCTTCCTTTAGGGGATAACAGAATGAAACAAAGCCCAAAACGCATCAGCAACCTGCCAGCTTCTAGCACCAAGCACCCCAAAAGGCTCCGCAGAAGCAAGACACTTGCACCAGCCTGTAGAGCCCAGCAAGCAAAGGGCATCAGCTGTACAGCCCAGAGGGCACGAAGGACGGCATAACCTCACCTGGGGCTACAGCCAGGCCCACCGAGGACCGACGAGCTACACCCTCGGCGCCCTGCCCGCCCACCCCACGGAAAAGCAACAGCTCAGCCCGTCCCTCTGCCCCCGCTGGGGCTGCCCCACCACCTGGTACCAAAAACAGGGAGAAAGGGCT